TATTGTCGCTGAGCCTCCCTTCTTATCTGTGCATATTCGTTTCTGGCTCTTCGGCTAATTTCTTTATTTTCCTGAGTTCTCTGTCTTCTGTACCTTTTCCATTCTCTAGTACACCTAGTTTTTGCCTCCCTACACCTTTGGGTGAACCAAGGACTCGTTCTGTTCTTCCCATTATTTCTGTTTCCCTTGGGAACAAACCTCTCCTCTGCCTCCTTGCATTTTGTTGCCACATAGTCCATCATTTCTTGTACTGGTTTTCCTGTCAGTTCCCTCCCCCACTGAATGTCTTGAAGGAAGTTCCTCATGCCTGAGTAGTTCCCCCTTTTGTAGTTTGGTTTTTTCACAGCCTATTCCTGCTACTCTCTCCACTTGGAGCTCAACTATGTAGTCGAAGCACAGAACCACATGATCACTAGCTCCCAGGGGCCTTTCATACATGATACCCTCGATGTCCGAACTACTCAAGGTGAATACAAGGTCCAGTCTTGCTGGTTCATCCTCTCCTCTCTCTCTGGTAGTGTCTCTAACATGTTGATGCATGAGGTTTTCCAGTACCACATCCATCATCTTGGCTCTCCATGTTTCGGGACCCCATGGGGCTCCAGGTTTTCCCAGTCAATCTCCTTGTGATTGAAATCACCCATAACTAGTAACTTTGCTCCCCCCATGTGTGCTCTCCTGGCCACCTCGGCGAGTGTGTCGATCATTGCTCTGTTGCTCTCATCGTATTCTCTCTTGGCCTCCTGCAGTTCTGTGGTGGGTTGTACATTACTGCAATTATCACCTTTTGTCCCTCAGACTGGATTGTTCCTACTAAGTAGTTCCTTTCGCCCGTGCCATCCATTCCTTCCATTTTCTCAAAACCCCACTGGTTTTTAATGAGCAGTGCAACTCCTCCTCCCCCTCTCCTCCCTCTGTCTTTCCTGAGGATTTGATATTCGGATGGAAAGATTGAATCTTTTATTATTCTGGTGAGTTTTGTTTCTGTGAGTGCTATTATGTCTGGGGATGTCTCCTTGATTCTTTCATGCCACTCCTCATACTTGTTTGTTATTCCATCTGCATTTGTATACCACACCTTCAACTTCTTTTCTAAGACTGTGGTCTGGGAGGTATATTGGGGTTGGGGAAGTGGGAGACCTGGTAAGGAACTATGTGTTGTTGCTGTGGGGGTGGAGTTTGTAATGTAGTGGGTGGGGCATTGGATGTGGCATGGGTGTTTTGATTTAGAGTGTTTGGTTGCACTGGGGTTGACCTGGTTGGGAGGCTTCTATAGGAAGTTGTGAGGGAGGCTGTATTTGACCTTCTTCCTGGGTCTGGGATCTCCTGTCTGTCTTCTCCATCCCCTCTCTTTCCTCCTTTCGCCTTTGTACCATCTCTCTCAGTTTCTGCCTTTCTTTTTGTGTTCTGTCGCGGTCGAGATACACCTTCATGTATGCCAGTATGTCCCTTAATCGTGCTTTCTCCTGCAGGATCCTGGTCCGAGTCGCTTCTGCCTTGAAGGTCACTTTCACTGGCCGGGTTCTTTTTTTTACAAACCCCTGTATTCTCCGTATTGCTTTCATGATACTTTCAATTGCTTTTTTTTCCCCTTGTTTTCTTGCTTCATATGTTTCCCCTTCAACTTCCTGGAGCCCATACACAAAGACTGACCTCACCCTTTCATTCTCCCACTGCATATTCCTGTGTATCCCCTCATTTAATTTGGTTTCCTCCACTGCAGCTTTCCTTTCTTCAGTTTCACTGGCTAATGTACTTGGGCTCAGTGGCCTGTCATTTTCCCTTCTCGGCTTTCCTTGGCCTCTGTTGTTGTCTGTTAGGGCCTCCACATAAAGCTTAGCTCTTTCACTTACTACAGTCTCCTCTGATAGAGCTTCCCCATGCAGTTGTGCCCCTTCTTTCCCTACTGTCCCCTTATTTGTGGCTGAGGTAGCAGTCTCTGTTGTCAATCCCAAAATGTTCTTTAGTTCTTTAGGCTGTTTCAGATTTTTCAGTTCCTCTTCTAAACTCTGTATCCTAGCTTCTGCTGCTTTGACATGCACCTCCCACTTCCTGCTTTCCATATCTATCCTCTCTTCCATTCTCATGCTAAGTTCTTCTAGTTTCTTTTCCCATTCATGATCCCTTTTTATGAGCTCTGCTGCCCAATCTTCCTTTGCAGCTTCCTCCTCCTGTCCCTTGGTTTTTCTTGTTGCTCTCTGGCAACCCATTTTTGTTTTATCCTGATTGCCTCAGAGTGGGAAACCTATATAGTTCTGTATGTTAGGTTAGTAGTGTGTATGTCAGTGTGGCAGGGGGGAGGTAGTGGAGGAACTGTGGCTATGTGGGAGAGGAGTGGGGAGGGGTGGGGAGGGGGGGGTGAACGGGGGAGGGGGAGGGGGAACGAGGGAGGGAAGGGATCAGGGGAAGTAGTGAGATGTCGGTGGTGAGGGGGGGAGTGTATGTGTGAGTCTGGATATGTGTGTGTGAGTGTGTGTGTGTGTGTGTGTGTGTTTGTGTTGTGTGTGTGTGTGTGTTGCAATTTTGTGTGGAATTATGTGTGGAATTATGTGTGGGTTTATTATGTACTGAAAGGTAGGTGGCTTGTGCGTTGTAATGTAGAGTCTCAGTGGACCTTGGCTGCCCACAACTTCTTGTGACCCAACCCCCAACCTCCTGGGACTTGACCGGCACGTACTTACAGTGTGTGTGTGTGTGTGTGTGTGTGTGTGTGTGTGTGTGTGTGTGTGTGTGTGTGTGTGTGTGTGTGTGTGTGTATGTGTGTGTGTGTGTGTGTGTGTGTGTATGTATGTGTGTGTGTGCTTGTGTGTGTGTGTGTGTGTTTGTGTATGTGTGTGTGTATATGTGTGTGTGTGTGTATTCACCTAGTTAGTTACCATTTTGTCCTAGTACAGGTGTGTGTGTGTGTATGTGTGTATATGTGTGCATTCGTGTGTATGGGGGAGGTATGAGAGGGAGATACTGTTAATACATACCAGTAATTCTGGGTTATAAAAAGCGGAAATTGCTACTAGGGTCTAAAGCTTCTATGAGTGTCTGCCCTTGTGTGTGTGTGTGTGTGTGTGTGTGTGTGAGGGAGGGATGGTTAGGGGGGTAGGGTGTGTGTTTGTGTGTGTGTGTCTGTGTGTAATTATGTGTAGAATTATGTGTGGGTTTATTATGTGTCTGAAAAGTAGGTGGCTTGTGCTTGAAGTGTAATGTGGATTCTCAGTGGTCGCTTGTGTCCACAACCTCTTGTGACCTGACCCCCACCCTCCTGGGACTTGACGCTCACCTACTTACAATGTTGCTTGACCTGCCACCTAGCTTACAGTAAGTTACTCGCCTTGTTCAATGGATGACCAATTGCTATTCCTTATTGAATACTTGAGTGCCTATTCTTTATCGTGCTATGAGAGTTAGACCATTCACATTCAGCTTGGCGGTTAATTGGAACCTGGAACCCCACACCCAAACAACCACTCATAGGTGGATACAGTACTTGCAGTGCAGCTGTAGCAGCCTGTAGATTGTCCAGCTCGATGTGACATCCTGGCGTAGATCCACCTCAATTTCTTCTCGTTAATAATGTACCCTATTCACTGTATTTCTCTCACTGGTCACATGATTGTTTCACTTTATTATCTTTCTTGGGTGACACTTGACAATGTCGCCTTACCACCCACACTAACCTGCCCACTCTGCACCACCACGTTTTTATTTTCTAGATCACTTACAAAATTGTGGCTCTCTCCATGCTTATGTGGCTCAGGCAGATTAAAAAACACTTCTAGGATTGTTCACTACCCTGACACGCTTTGCAACCCTTGCAGAACACTTGGGTGTGTGTGTGTGTGTGTGTGTGTGTGTGTGTGTGTGTGTGTGTGTGTGTGGAATTGTGTGTGGAATTATGTGTGGAATTATGTGTGGGTTTATCAAGTGTCTGAAAAGTAGGTGGAATTGTGCGTTGGAGTGTTATGTGGAGTCTCACTGGTCACTTACCTGACCACAGCCTCTTGTGACCTGACCCCCACCCTCCTGTGACTTGACCTGCACCTACTTACAATGCTGCCATCAATGTTCTTCCTACCACCTAGGCTTATAGTAACTTACTCGCCTTGTTCCATAGATTACCAATTGCTATTCCTTAATGAGTACTTGAGTACCTATTCTTTATTGTTCTAGGAGAGATGGACCGTTCACAATCAGCTTGGCGGTTAATTGGAACCTGAAACCCCACACCCAAACAACCACGCATAGGTGATTACAGTACTTGCAATGCAGCTGTAGCAGCCTGTAGATTGTCCAACTCAATGTGACGTCCTGGAGTAGATCCACCTCAATTTCTTCTCGTTATATAATGTACCCTATTCACTGTATTTCTTTCACTGGTCACACGTTTGTTGCACTTTATTATCTTTCTTGGGTGACATGTGGCAACGTCACCTGAGCACACACACTAGCCTGCCCGTTCTGACTGCGCCACCACGTTTTCTTTCTAGATCACTTACAAAATTGTGGCTCTCCCCACACTTACGTGGCTCAGGCAGATTGTAAATCGCTTCAGGGAATTGTTCACTACCCCAAAACACTTAGCAACCCTTGCAGAACACTTGGGTGTGTATGTATATATATGCATGTGCCTGCCTTGTAGTGTGACCTAATTGTAAATAGAAGTAGCAAGATATACCTGTTATCCAGCAATCCTACCATCAATCCAGCAATCCTACCATCAATCCAGCAATCCTACCATCAATCCAGCAATCCTACCATCATGTAAAACAGTTACAGGTTTCTGTTTTACAGTTATCTGGCAGGATGGTAGTAATTCCCCGGGTGGTTGCTGTCTACCAACCTACACACACACACACACACACACACACACACACACACACACACACACACACACACACACACACACACACACACACACACACACACACACACACACTAATATATATATATATATATATATATATATATATATATATATATATATATATATATATATATATATCCCTCTCTCCCCTGTCTTATTTCTGTCACCTTGTTGTAGAACTCTAATAAGTTTATAATGTCGGATTTCCTTTTCCTGAAGCCGTGAGGGTTGTCATGTATGAGCTTGTTCCTCTCTAGGTGCTCCACCGCTCTTCTGATAACCTTCTTCATAATTTTACATAGTATACATGTCAGCGACACTGGCCTGTAATTTAGTGCAGCCTGTTTTTCATCTTTCTTAAAAATCGGGAATACATTTGCTGTTTTCCACACCTCAGGCAGTTACCCTATTTCTATAGATTTATTGAAGATTGTTGTTAGTGGCACACACAGTGCATCATATTAGCTCGGCCCACCGCCTTTGAGGCATCTAGTTCCCTTATCAGTTTCTTGACCTCATCCTCGGTGGTGTGTAGTTTGTCCAGTACTTGCTGGTGCACCCTGCCACCTCGGTTCGCTGGAAGTCTCTCTGTCGCCATAAATCGTGAGCTGAGCTTCTCACATTCACCCTTCTCCTTCCTTCTTCAGCCTGATTACCTGGCCCTTGACCGTTGTTTTCCTCCTGATGTGGCTGTACGACAGCTTTGGTCAGATTTGGCTTTTGATGCTATGTACTTCTCATAATGACGCTGTGTTCCTTATCCATGCATACTCATTTCTGGTTCTGCGGCTTAACTCCTTGTTTTCCTGGGTCCTTTGCCTTCTATACTTTCTCCATACTTTAGTACATGTGGCTTTGGCCTCTCCACACCTCTAGGTGAACTATGGGCTCACTTTGGTTTTCCTGTTGTTTCTGTTGCCTCTTGGCACGAACTTCTCCACTGCCTCCCTGCACTTTGTGGTCCAATGATCACGACATAAGTCAGCGACAGAGATATGAAAACGAAAGCGATATTAGAATGTATTGATTACTAGACATAAAGAGCACTTGAGAGCCAGACCATTGTTAAATTAATGAAGAGAAAAACAATGAGAAAATAAGATACCTATACTTACTCAGAGGAAGGAGAAGAGAGCGCTTAAGAAACTCAAATGCTTTGGAAATTAGTGAAAAGGCCAGGAGTAAGGAAGAAGAAAGGGAAGAAGTGAGCCAAGACTTAACAGGCAATAACAGCTCTGGCTGTAGCCAACACCTGAGTCCTTATACTCGCCAGAAGGGCCCCAAGCTGGCCTACTGGGGGCCCCAGAGGGCCACCATTGCCGGGGAAAGGAGAGACCCGGTCACCATACCTACGCCCATCAGGGCACCCATGATGGCGCCGCCGACATCCATCTCCTCACTCTCCAGACGTCTGGGGGGAAACAATATGTAAATGCACCTTAGAATATACATGGCTGTGCAAGTGTTGGGAAAAAGAAAGTAAGGAACAGGAGATTCAATAATGAATACTTTAAATGTGAATTTAAATATCATTTGAACCACTGGGGAAAAAATACTTATGGCTTATAAATAATTTTACTCGCTACTGAGGCTTCGCTGCAGCCCAAATAAACATTCATTCTCCACGATGCCGGGAGTCGTCTTTTAACCTTAAAGAATGCATTAATTATTTTAGCTGCTGATTTGTTACAGGCATGATCCTAGCATTGATTTATCTCTGATTCTGGGTGTATATTTTTGGTCAAATATAAAAAAGAGATGAGGGCCAAAACTTTTATGAAAATGTTTCGCCTGTACAGGCAAAATATTGTCTCAATGGTTGCTCTGCTCCTCATTGTGTCTATTTCACCTGTTCTGTCGCCTATGCACCATCTTTCTTCATAGTATACTGTCCTGCGCCGCATAACTACATTTCGGTCAACGACAAACAGCATGTACGACGGTGCTGTAAACAAACCAACTGTGCTGCCAATCATATAAAAGTATAGCACAAACAATTATGTGCAATGCATAATACTTGATAATGATAATAAAGAACTATGTTACTGGTTTATGTATTTACTATACAGTACTTTTTATCGTTAATCTAAAGTTTACTCTTATTACTTATAAAAAGTTTACTGTAAAACAGTATGCCTCATACATCTCTTGTTTATAACATCTCTTGACAGCATCATTTTCCCTTCTGTTTGACTGATTTAATCCCGCGTTGTTTTGTTTATCATGGTCTCCGCAGGAGAAGAAAAGGAAGAAACCCAAAGAAAATTCATAGTGAAGGGAATAGCAGAAGCTCTTAAAAAAGTTTGAAAACATAGACCCCAGCACTGAAAAGTTTCATTAATAGAGAAGAATATTCATGGTGCACTATCTGCTTACAGACAAATATATGATTAAAAACATACAAATCACATAGCCTAGGTGTGTAGTAGGCTATACCATCTAGGTTTGTGATATACATCCTACGACGTTCGCACAACGACGGCATCGCCTAATGACGCATTTTTCATGATGTATCGCCGTAGTTAAACGACGTATGACAGTATATTTCTTGTCTATCTGAGTGCTCTTCACTTGGTTGGTGGCATCTGCTCACACATACTGAAGGTACGGGATCGATCCCCGGCACGGGTTAAACGTACGGCATGCTTCCTTACACCTGCTGCTCATGTTCATCTACTAATAAGTAGGTACCTGAGTGCTGGTAGACTGTTGTGGGTCGCATCCTGGGGGACAAGCTTAACCTAAGTTGCCCGAAATGCTCTGCATAATCAGGGGCTTTCTATATAGTATGTCAGTGATGTCAGCTAGATTTGTAATAGTTGTTCATATACTTGTGGAAATAAAGATTATTGTTATTATTAAGCTGATATGCTGCAGATATACATAACGCTGTGAATGTGCTGTGGGTAGAGAAGCAATACTTAAATAAAAAGTAGATGGAAAATGTCTAGCCAACCTATCCTCATCTTACTCAGGTAATTTTCTTACGCGATTGGGAGCATCCGTGTATTAACTGGGCTTGAGGCCACTTATCGCACTGTTTACAATATTTATACATCTACACAAGGAGTAATACATACGAGGAATATTTCTCACAAGTAGCAATGCTCACGAGAGTAATTGTCACAAAGGGTAACACTATGCTAATACTCGCTAAAGATATTAACGAAGGGCAGTACTTATGAAGGTTAATACTCACGAGGGGTAATAGATGAGGGTGAGCGTGCCGAAGTGGCCACCGGTGAAGGCAAAGAGTATCAGGAGAGGGATGTAATAAGCATCGTTGGCGAAGATGGTCGGGAAGGTCTTGTTAGTCCCGTGACACAGCATCAGCAACGGCAGGAAGATGATACGACAGAGAGCAGCAACGTGAAGCTGCCACCCACGCTCACTTGGCTGTCAGAGACAAATTCATAAACGTGCTCATATATTTACCTCTTTGTGACTAATTAATTTTAGTTACGGGATTAGAGACATCCTCGTGGCATTTCATCCTTATGATTATCATCTAAACTTGACTGACTCCCAGGTATTACGCCTCAGGCACACATCAACCGACTAACCGATGCAGAAAACGTGAGACGGGCAAATTTAAGGGTAGCTTTCAGACACATCAGCATGGAGGCATTCACGGCCTTATACACGGCACATGTCGGGTCTATATTGGAGGACGCGGCACCATTATGGAACCCACATCTGGTAAAGAATATAATGAAGCTGGAAAAGATTTGCAATAAATTAGTCCTAGATCTGAGGGAAATCAGAAGACGTATTCACAAGTAATTATATGGAAACTAATATCCAAATCTGACATATGAGGAGAGGGTAGAGAACTAGACCTGACGATACTAGGGGACAGAAGGACCAGAGGTGACATGATTATAACGTACAAAATACTGAAAGAAGTTGACAGGGTGAACAGGGAGAGTCTTCGAGAGGCTGGACTCGAGTCTACGTGGGCACAAGTGGAAGCTAAATGTACATATAAGACACAGTGATGCTAGGAAATACTTCTTTAGCCTTAGAGTGGTCACAAAATGGAACGATCCTGACAGCAAAGTTCGTCTTACTTAGAAAAGAATTCATTGATTTCGGCCTGTGCAGGTCACACTTTTATTGTTTGGAGCCAACTGTGAAAATTGAAATATTGCTTTTCATTCGATAATGCACTTCTGAGAAGCTTAAAACTTAATTTGCTTATGTATTTTAGCATATTGGTCTCTGAAACGTCTGTGTGAGATTTGGACTGAATATGTCCTAGTTTGCCATTTTTGTTGAAAAAATGCTTCTTCTGGTTTCCTTCATATCTTCAATTCTTATATTTAACTGCATTATCAACTTCTGCCGCACTCTGCACTATTCCAGTCGCCTGCAATGAGGTGCAGGGGGCTGTTATTATGGAATACGGGGGTAACTTCCTCGGATCGCACAGCAACCGAAGTGTATCTAGTTATAATTTGCATAGCTATCCACGATATGCCCTCATTTCAGTCTGTATTAAGGGATTATTGCCTTGTAAATGACCCGTTGGAGAAGCATTCACAGCACGTCGTGTTCTCTTAGTTTCCACGGCACTGTCTTGCAGCGTCCTAATATCTTTGATAAACGAAGCTCTATAGGAACCTCCTCACGTCATCACTAATAGCGACTGATAGCCTTGCTTGGTTTGCTCTCTTTATTACTGGTACCGACACTTCCTCATCTGCGAATACCATATTAAATCTTCTGTTTGGCTTGAGTATATCCTTATCATTTCCCCTAAGTAGTACCTCCCCAACTTTCATCTATATTATCACGTGATCATTTAGTGTCATTTTCCTTCTGGTTCTATAGTAACTTTATTTAAACAGTGATAGTTGCAAAGTAAGACACATGTACATGTCGGTATTGTATACTATTATAATATTGACATTTAAATCACTTTTAGTATTAGATTCTTATTTGGAAATATTCATTTCTTGCTTTCCAACTTGTTTGTCAAATTCCAGCAATTGTCAAATGAACTAAAAATTCTCCCAGTATCTCATATATTTTACCTTTCAAGTATATTAAAATTTATTTGTCACATTTTTGGACTTTTTTAAGAATTTCATTATCATTGCCGGAGTTTAATGTTCGTAGCTGCACTTCGTCTACAACGTTCCCTCAGAGTCAACATATTTTTGACAGTCACTTCTACCATGTAGCATAATAACAGCACTGAGTGATCACTTCCTCCTAGGGGCATCCTGTGCTTATTTTTTCTGTATGATCAAATCAGTGAAAAAAAACAAATCTAAGCTCACTGGTTCTACATATTCAGTTCTACATATTCAGTTTCCTATGTGTCTGTGGAAGCTGTCCAGGATTCAGTTCCCATGTTAATTTTGCCATGGATGAAATCTCACAGGATCATTTGTTCACCTCTAGCCCTGTTACTTGTGCAATTTTTAAGTTATCTACCATTGCTGTGTTGATGCTATCAAATTAATGGCTGCTTCTTTTGTTGTTTAGTGTCAGGCTGTGCATTATAACCACAAAGACCCTGGAATCTTCCATAATTACAGTTTATGCAATGTACAGTAATTTAAATAACCCCATAGGTTCAGTGAATGTCTTTACTTCAGACCTACAATAATTTCTGATTATGCTACCAGCCTACCTTGAACTAACACATTAGTGGTCAGAAGACGGACAGTAAATATTTAGACGTTTTTCTTTAGTTTTATTCCGACTGATAATTATTGTTACAGTCGTATCGCTCTCATTAGTGGGAAGAATTCCTAATCAGACCTAAAATTTCTTAGGTGGTATAGAAGTAACTGCAGTGTGTTCTAACTCCTAGAGTAGATCAGTCAAGTGGGTTAAGGGGAAAAGATTTCGAATTATGCTCTAATTAGAGATGCAAATTTCATAAAAAAATATAACTAACTTTATAACTAATTGAAACGAGAAGTGAATATCACCTTGCTCATTTAACTATATTAAAAAATTCACGAGCATCAAAACTATCAAAAGAGAGCCACACCCACCCATTTTAGCCAGCGTGGTGTTTCCCTGCCACACCAGTCGCTCAGGTTGAAGAGTAGAAAGGTGATGGTGGGCTGGAAGAAGATTTGAGTCCAGCGGGACTCAGGTGAAGTTGAGGTGATATAGACCAGCACTGAGGGGTAGATCATCAACGTTACAATCAGAGACCCACCCAAAGTTGTTCCCATTGGCCACACCTGCGAAGAACTCCGGGATAAGTTCTTTAACATCATATATTAAACACCATTTCTCAGACATCACACCACAAACATCATACTCAGACATCACTCCTCAAATAACATAATAACATAACTGATGTAAGTCAGTTTTAGCGAGTTAATATTAATGTCACGTCATTATGTAACATAACCCATGTTGATGTCTTATTAAGTTTTCAAGTTTGAAGACCTATACAACTATAGCTAATACAAGACAGCGTCTGACATCAGTGAATTTATTAACTCTGTTTTCCATACAAAGTTTGCATTTAGTGATGAGTTGTAAACGTAACTGTGTCTAGTGTTTGAGAAACCTCTTTCCCATTTCCTTCAGAAGATTATGTATGTAATTATTTAACGCTACACTAGTTAGCAGAATTTTTTTGCCCTAATTCAAAATGGCACTAATATGAATGCAAGAGAATAAAGATATAAATAAATGTGTTCATGAATTGATAGTCTTAACACACCCATAGAATTTTTGGTTGAGGTTAAACAAATGTAATTCATTTCCATGACTCGATATTTTGTTGCAAAAAAAAAAAAAAAAACACCAAGACTTTATATTAAAAATAATGTATATAGAAAGTAAACCAATATTGGTTCCTATGAACAATATTGTTCGTCATATCATGACCGAGTTGAAAATTCAGTGTTGTCAGTGTTCATGGGAGCTCTTCCAGTGTGTGTCTATATATATATATAAATACATATATATATATATATATATATATATATATATATATATATATATATATATATATATAAATATACATGCAATAAGATCACAGTAAACAGGTGATTTCAGAATATGCAAAACAACCACTCTGAAAGAATAGAGAAATTCCAAGCGCTTTCGTGACTACTCACATTATCAAGGAACTATGAAAGTAAAGCATCCAAGGAAGCTATATAAGGGGTCTGGCCAGCACCTCACTATCAGATCCCACAACGGTTAAACACCTGACGCGCGCCGACCCAACTTGGATAGGTCCTTTGCACAACTCACCCACAAACTATTCTACCCAAGAAAATTTAAAAATTATTTGTCCAGTGTATTATTAAATTCTTCCCAAATTCTATTAATTATAAATGGATCTAATTTATATAAACCAAAGGAAATATTCATATTATTGTCAAAACTGCTTTTTATGAAACAAGATTCAGTTATATTCCTGTCGACCATGGACTTGCTTGATACTACTTTCTCAACTTTTTGAAAATCAATTGGATGGTTAAAATCTCTTACATGAATAAATAGAGCATTGGAATCTTGTCCAGTTCTAATGCTATATTTATGTTGTTTTAATCTTAGTTCGAGATTTTTACCAGTTTGACCGTAATAAACTTTATCGCAAATTTTACAAGGAATCTTATAGACACATCCATCAGCATTTTGGGGGGAATTCTTTATC